CCTGAGTTCAATCCCCAGTACAAAAAAAAAAAAAAAAAAAAAAAAAGAAAAGAAAAAAGTCATTCTTGACTTGAAATTCACTTTGTCTACAGGTAGAATAGCTACTTCTGCTTTTTTCTGGGGTCTTGTCGTATGGAGTATTATTTTCTATCTTTTCAATGTATGAATTTCTTTTATAATTAATTGTGTTTCATGTATGCAGCATATTGTTGGATCTTGCTTCTTGATGCATTCTGCCAGTCTGTCTTTTGATTGATGTATTGAAACCATTAGCATTGATAGTTATAATTGAGCTATATTGAGTTATCCTTGTCATGGTATTTTCCTATTGTTGGATACCCTCATTACTCCCCCTCTGTTTGTTTCCCTTGTGTGGTGAATTCCTCTGTTATGGTTGGTTCAATATATGTGAACTTATAAACTTTCTTTTATGTGTGATGTTCGTTTTTCTTAACAACTTTTTAAATTTTATTTTATTATTATTATTATTATTATTTTATTTTAGGGAAGGTTCTGCAGCGTGTTTAGGGTCTAACTACTAGATCGGACTCGTAGTGATCCGCCTGTTTGCAGCCTCCCAAGAGCTGGGATTATAGGTGCATGCCACCACACCCAGTATCAATTGCTGTGTCAGTGTGTCCCTGGGGGTGGGGTCGGCATGGCAGGCCTTGGGATCAAACCACTGGCCCTTCCACCTGCTTGCAGGAACTTTAATCCACTGGTCTCCTTATCAGCTTTTACAATTCATTTTTTTTTGTGTGCGTATGTGCGTGGTCTCACATTCTTGTGTTGAATTTCTGGAATCTTCACTATGATATGCCTAGCTATAGTTTTTTTGATCGTGAATGATTGGAATTCTATGTGTTTCACTTATATGTATGTCAAATTCTTTTTGTATATCAGGAAAGTTTTCTATCGTGACATCTCTGAACATATTTTCACATTATTTGAGCTATCTTTCCTTTTCAATGATTTCAGTCAACTTATATTATTCCTCTTTGCCTCATCTAGCAGATGCTGTATTGATTTCTTCTGGTCCATTGCTATTTTTAACAAATCATCCTTTTCATGTTCACTAAGAGAAAGCCTGTCCTCTATATCTGAGATTCTACCTTAGTCTGCTATGTATGTGGATTTTTTTTTTTTTTTAAACTGAGGAAAAAAGTGTATATTTATACTTAGCCAGCTGGACTCAGTTTAGATAATCCCAGTTTTGTTGGTAACAATGCATCATAATTGGGAGCCAATTGAACATATGCTTTCTTCTCTGCATGAGGCCTGATTAGGGTATTGACCTGGGCAACAGTGATGTCATACAGTTTCTTTACAGGTTGTTTGATTTGGTGCTTATTGGCTTTGAGATCCACAGTGAACACGAGTGTGTTGTTGTCCTCGATCTTTTTTATGGCTGACTCTGTGGTCAGGGGAACTTGATGATGGCATAGTGGTCAAGCTTGTTTCTGCTGGGGGTGCTCTTCTGAGGGTATTTAGGCTGCTTCCAAAGCTGCAGTGTCTTGGGACTGCAGAAGGTGGGTGATGTTCATATCTTCTTCTTTTTGTGGCCGTGGATGCCTTTCAGCATGGCCTCCTAGGCCTTCAAAGCTTTTGCTTTGGCTTCAGCTTTGGGAGTGGCAGGGGTTTCCTTTTTCACCTTCAGTACCATCTTGGTAAAAAGGCTCTCTCAAATCTCAGTGGAATTTTTTATTCCCTGAATATCAGCTTGAATCTGCCTAGGTTCCATTTCTTTCCTTTGTTGAGTATTCATGGCTTCTATTATTTTCTTAAGTTCCTCTATTTTTTGTCTGTCTGCTCTAGATTCATTAAGCATGGCTTTCATTTTGGACATCATCTCTGCAGTTATCTGAGAAATTATTTCTGAATTGATTTTTTTCCCCAGAGACTCATTCAATTACTTTGTTGTCGTCACTTCAGAAAGGCCAGCTGGGTGACTTTCAGATTGTCCCAACTCATTGCTCCCTTGGTTTGCATTTGGTGAACTGGGTGTCGAGTTGCATCCTGTTTAAGTGTCTTTTCATTTTTTTTTTTAAGATTAATTCTTGGTGTGATACTTGTAAATTGTCTATGGTAAGTTACATTATTACTAATATTTCATACCCTTAGGAAATGAATACTTCCCTGAGGTATCTTCCAGGTACACCTGGTTTTGGGTTTTGAGTCTTAAGTTGTTGGGGATAAGAACTTGCTGCCTGTTTTGCCCAGCCCTTGGTCCTTTGGCATTGTGCTACTGTATTTTTTTGTGGCCCTTAATCAATCTCAGTCTTCAAATACAAGGAAGAAAAGCTCCTTAAGTAATTAGGATACTTCTGGTTATAATAGTACCAACAACAATGAAAATATCAAATACAGCCTAAAAAATGATAAATGGAGTTATTTTTCCACCTTTAACCATATGAAATGGGTTTATGATTTTATAAAAAAATCTAAAGCAAACAAAATTTTGTGCAGTATACAAGTCCTTAATATGTTAATTTTGCCCTCAAGGTTTAAAATTTAAAAGAGTTAAGGAGAGAATAGAGAAGTGGAAGAAGAGGAAAAGGTTAGAAGTAAGAGGGCCGACCAAATAGCTCAGCAGATTAAAGTATCTGTAAGCAGGCACAGGGGCCGGGGGTTTGCTCCCCAGGCCTGCCATGCCCACCTCACCCCCGGGGCATGCTGAGAGGGCAATTGAGTGTGGGCATGGTGGCATGCGCCTGTAATCCCAACTCTTGGGAGGCTGTAAACAGGTGGATCACTATGAGTCCGATCTAGTAGTGAGACCAGAATACCCTGCAGACCCTTCCCTAAAATATAAAACAAAACAAAGCAAAACCAAACAAAACAAAAATGATTAGAAATAAGGTTGGTGGATAAAGAGAGATCATGCTAATTTTGGGAGACTGGTACAGAAGACTGGAAGGAAAGAGAGAAGGAAGAGATTACTGGGTGAACAACTACAAACAGCGTAGAAACCATATTCACATTCTTATAAAAACAAGATCGTACAATAAAAGATAAAACAGAAAACAAAAGCAAAACCAATACCACAGCAACAGAAAATGAGAGAGAGAGAGAGAGAGAGAGAGAGAGAGAGAGAGAGAGAGAGAGATGCTTCCAGGTATGTCTCTGTTGTCAGTGAGAGACAACATGTGGAGACAGAGTCCTGATCAATGCTGATCTATCCCAGAAAGCTAGCAGTGGCTTTTTGGTGGGGTAGTGGATAATCGCAGTGAGCCTATACCTCCTGGCTAAGACTAGACTTATTTGGCTTGCATCCAACAGCATACCTTCTGCAGGCCTGAGCCCAGCTTGGAGCCACTAGATGGACCTGGTAGCCACTCTGAGTTCTGAGCTCAGTCATCTCTTCTCTGAGATGGCTTCCAGCCAAGTGATCTCTTGAGAAGGACAACTGAGTCCTTAGCACTTACCACTGTCTAGTCCAGCCTTTCAGCCTACTGTTCCCCTCTACTATTGCATTTTTCAATGAAGGCCTTGGGGTCACCAGCAGTGTCATTGTGTCTATAGGTTTGAACTGCTCCTTATATGTAGTGAGTACTATCTCAGGGAAAAGGCGCCACTGGCTACCTCTTCTTTCTTCTCCATTAAAATTTCTCTCTTAGGGCTGGCCTGATAGCTCAGTGCACTAAAGTATCTGCTTAGGCAGAGTGCAGTGTCCTGGATTCGATCCCTGCTGTGCTGTGCTGGCCCCGACCTGGGGTGTGCTGAGATGGTGATTGAGACTGGGCATAGTGGTGCGTACCTGTATTCCCAGTGCTTGGGAGGCTGAAAACAGGAGGATCACTGCAAGTCCAGTCTGTGTAGCGAGACCCTGTAGACCTTGTCCTAAATACCAAAAAAATTTTTTCTCTCTTCCCTCTCTCTATGGGCTTCAATTCATGCTTCAGATCCTTCCTGGTTCCAGGAGATCCCCTGCCCTCCTGTCTTGTTTACTTTGCTACATTCCAGCATATAGAGGGCAACTCTGAGAGGCTGTTTCTCTGCTGCTCACCACTCCCCAATTTGGTGCTCCCTCCTAATTTCTTAGTACTCTCATTGGTGAAATATAGCAGTAACACTGGGGCCAAGAGAATCTTGGAAATTTAGGAGTAGCATAGTGTTAAAATTTTGTTTATTTAATTTTGGATTGTTAAGGGCAGCAATCATACCATTTTTATCTTTGTAATATCAGTCATTAATTCAAAGTCTGTCACACGGACAGTTGGTCTCATAAAATTATTCAATAAATATTTTACTTGGTGTTACTTTTGAATACAGAAGTGTATGTGAGAATAAAGTTTCTCCTTTTGTCTTACACCCACAAAAAGTTGATTTTTCAGTATTTTAGTGTATAGTTTCATTTATGGGAGAACCTACTGGTCCTACTCAGCTTCACTGATAGCATATAGTACATTTTATTTTAATTAATTAATTTTTGTGGTACTGGGGATCGAACTCAGGACCTTGCACTTGCAAGGCAGGCATTCATGCCACTGAGCTATCTCCCTGGCCCCATATAGTACATTTTAAATAACTATTTTCTGATTAATAGCCACTAAATATGCTATATTTACTCTTAAAATGTGTCATTGTAACTAACTGGTAGTTTTGTTGATTTACTGTTTATTATTTTAAATTTTACCTACAATTCATGATATATCTTCTGTATTATAGCATCAAACACTTGGCTTGTTCCAGAAACTAAAGGAGCTATTGTACAAGGTGGATATGGCCATACGAGTGTGTATGATGAAATAACAAAGTCCATTTATGTTCATGGAGGCTACAAAGCATTACCAGGCAATAAATATGGATTGGTAGATGACCTTTATAAGTATGAAGTCAACACAAAAACTTGGTGAGTAAGCTGATTGAAAGTATGATATCGAGAGAACTTGATAAAGATGTATTTTACGTTTGTATAATAATCATTTTTACTAAAATATTCATAGGAAAATTATTGAACCTTTTCTTTATTTCAACTAACTGTATGCTATCATGTAGCAGTGGCACCAAAAAGTTTTTTCTCTTTAGACATCATTGATACAAATGACTTACTTTAAAATCGTATCTTATCCCATAGAAATTCTTATTCTTGTTTATTATACTCATAAGTGCTGATAAAATGTTCATTAGATGGACAATTCTTTTTTACTGGTAAAACTTTGTCCTGGATTTATTCTTATTTACACTTATTTAATTGATATTTATAAATTTAAAAATGATTTCTTCAGTTTTATCATCTAAATTCCTATGAAATACGAATCTTGTGTTTGGGCCATTTTGTTTTTCTGTTGAAAAAGTGCTACATGACACTGGTCTTCTCAGACACATGTGCAGTAGTTCTTTGGGTTATATACTTAAAAGTGAAATTACTGTGTCTGAATTCATTTTCAGATCACTATTATACGTTCAACAGCAGGGCATGAATACCTTAATGTCATATTGCCATTAATACATGGTAACATGAGGATTTTTACTTTTGCAAACATGATAGGTAGAATGGTATTTTACTGATATTTTAATATGTATTTTCCAAGTTATTGTTGAAGATAAGTTTATTTTTATAGGTGGTTATGCCATTATTTTTTGTTTAGTGAAATAACTATTTGTACTCATTATATATTGTACATACATGTTTTAAATATTATACGTTACTCTTTCTTGTATTGATTTTCCTGGATATTCAGTTTAAAAAATAGAATTCTTCTTGTACTCACCTTTGTAAAATTTGGACAATGGCTATTTTACTCATTTACCTTCATGAAATCTGGAAAAATGTCTCTTTTTTCTTTAAGATAACATACATTCTTTTAAATTTAGCATGATGTCACTTCATGTGTTTGAAGAAGAACACTATTCAACTAATTGTGGGTTTGCTCTTCCTCCACTTCCTTTAGACATAGTCCTTGATTTGTACATTCTTTGATGGAAAGATAGAATAATAAAACTTGTGTTTTGTGAAAAAAATGAATGAAATATTTTCAAACATGACAAATGATATCAAACCAAACACTGAATAAGTTTCATGAGAACCAAAGGAGATAAGCAGAAAGAAGCTCATGTTTAGAGATATGGTAAATCTGCTCAAAACATGAAGAGAAAAATTTAGAGAGGGAAAGCTAGTGACAGCAGCTAGAAAGCGATCAAGGCATTTTTGTCTTGTCAGTGCTCAACACATTCATTAACTGAAAAAATGGACTCCAGAATATATTTTCAAATGATTGAAAGAAAATAATCACTAGCTTAAAATTCTACATGAAATGAAATGTACTTTGAAAAATAAAATAAAGACTTTTTTTTGCAAACAAAAACTGAGAGATTTGATTATTGCAGGTAGAGAATAAAGGAAATACTAAATAAATGTTTCTAAAGCAGAAGAAAAATAATTTCTGATACTGAGTAGAACATATAGAAATGAAAGAAGTCAAATCCAATAGATTATCACATAAAAATAATAGGGCCAGGGAAATAGCTCAGTGGCATAAGTGCCTGCCTGGCAAGTACAAGGTCCTGATGGTCATGAGTTTCATACCTGGTACAACAAACAAACAAACAAACAAGCAAACAAACAAATAGAGGTTTGATTGCGTACATAGTTTTATTTTCCTTTTTCCCCCTGTATTTTAGGGAAGAGTCTACAGGGTATTCAGGGTCTCACTACTGGTTCAGACTCGTAGAGATTCTCCTGTTTACAGTCTCCAAGTGCTGGGATTACAGACACCTGTCACCATGCCCAGTCTCAATAGCCTTCTCAGCGTGCCCCCAGGGGTGGGTCTGGCACTGCAGGCCTGGGGATCGAACCCCCAGCCCTGCCTGCTTGCAGGCACTTTAATCCACTTAGCTAATTGGCTGGCCCTACATACATAATTTTAAAGCATGAAAATAATGGTATATAACTGAAAAAGAGATAAATTAGTGTGAAAATACTAAAGTCCTTGTATTACTTGGAATTGATAAAATTAATATTGTATGTTAATTATTAAGGATATATGTTGCAATTATTATATAATGACCCAACATTATATATTTAATGGGATAATATATGGGAAAGTCAGAATAATAAATGGTAGATAATAAATTTTCAAAAAGGAAAGACAAATATAACAAAACAGGTATGGCAGGAATTGTAAAATGGTCTATAATTCTAACTAGATCAATAATTACACCAAGAATAAAGAAATATTCCAGTTTTTGAAGTGTAAGAGAACAAATTTTTAAATTAAAAGCCAAGAGTTTTTGAACTGGATGTAAAAATCCAATATAGCCATACATTTCTTAGAAAAGATGTACCTTAAATGAAAATATGTATTCAAGGTGAAAGTACAAGGATAAAAGGAGGATATATCATGCAATAACTAAAGAAAATTCTTGTAGCTGAATTAATATTAGACAAATAAGAGTTTAAACCAAGAGTCTCCCTGACCAATATGTGTAACAGTTTTGAATTTATATAGAACTTATAGCATTGTGGTAAAATTAGAAAGTAAGAACTGACAGAATTAAGCAGAACAAATCAGAGTGGGATATATTAAATTTAGCTCTCTTGATTGATACCAGATGATCAAAACCAATCAAAGATATACAGAAGTTTTTCTTACTTGAAATGAGAGTTTAAAACCTTGTATTTGCAGCTTATAACATAGTTTCCACGCATGCATGGAACTTTTCCAAAACTTATTCTATGCTACTCTTAATTCCAGTCTTTAAAAGGATTGAAAAACCTGCAAAGTAACTTATCACACTGAAATGAACAAAAAAGTAACTTTTTAATGATTATATAAAGTGATCAACGCAAATTAATTTTGGAAATAATAAATTTCTTTTAAATAATTGGTCAAATAATTTTAACTGAAAATTGTAAGACATGTTATATACTTACTGATGACATTAAAATGTGCAGAGAGGGATAAGAGCCCTGAATATATTTATTAGAAGTAGTTCTAGAAGTCTGAAAATCATTAGTCTGATCTTTTGTTGCTGGTGTCGTGTTTTTATTAGTAAACATTTGCAGTACATAATGGCTATATTATCCCATTGCCCTCCTCTCATTCCCTCAATTCTCCTCTCTTTGTCCCCTTCCCTTTTGCTAAAGGTGTATCTCCCTATTTTCTCTTACCTTTTATTTTTCTCTTTTTATTACTTATAGTTTGAGTTTCTCATGTAAGACACATCATGTGGATTTAAGCTAGTGTCTGATTTATTTCACTTAATATTATGTGTTTTTTTTTTTTTTTTTTTTTTTTAAGGCATTTTTTTTTTTTTTTTTTTTTTTTTTTTTGTGGAACTGGGGATTGAACTCAGGCCCTTGCGCTTGCCAGGGAAGCGCTTATTCCACTGAGCTATCTCCCCGGCCCCTAATACTGTGTTCTTAAGGTACATTAATTTTCCTACAGATAACTCAAGTTTATCCTTCTTGATGCCAGAGTAGTACTCCACTGAATGTGAATAAACATATTTTCTTTATGTATTTATCTGTTGATGGATCCCAAGGGTATTTCCAAGATTATGCTATTAGAATGTGTGCTCCTACTAGTATGGGTATGGAGGTATTTTTGTAATACGTCTTTACTTACAAGTGGAATAGCTGGGTTAAATGTAATTTCTCATTTAGGTTTTTGAGGAATCTCCTTACTTACTTCCCTAATGGTTATACTAGTTTACATTCCTACCAACAATATAGAAGCTTCCTTTTCCCCTCGCTAGAACAGCAGTATAATTCCAAAGAAATGTAAGACAAATAAATATATGTAAAAAAGAGATGTGAGATATCTGCCCAAATTAAGGAATAGAATGCTGACATATGATAGTTCCCAAAATCATAAAAAATAAACACAAATGATGGTGTATGAAGAGTAAAAAAATAGACACGATCATGCCTAAACAGCCTATGTCAAGATTTAAAATTGAAATCACTGCAGATCATATAGGCCTACGTTAATAAGGACAAATGATAAGCAACTGTTGAGACAATATATTTGAAAAATTTTATGAATCATTTAAAATTTCTAGAAAAGAAAAACTTTGCAGCAATGACACTTGGAAAAAATAGGAAATTGCAGTGATCTTATGTCAGTGATATAGAATCTGTTATTATAATTACACAAACAAATAAAAAAAACTCTTGAGGCCTAGATAACTTCATGGGTAAATTTTTCTGGGTAATTACAAAACATTGAAAGAGAAAGGTAAAGTTCATACAGTCTTTTTGAAAGATTTAGTAGAATGCTTGGAAAAAATTCAACATTTTCATAATAAAAAGTTATAGTTAGAATATAAGCAAATTATTTACATAGTAAAAGATAAAAAACAAAAACTTTATCACAATGATTACAGTGAAATGCTGAAAGCTTCCCCTTTAATTTTGTTTTTTATTTTTATTTTTGGTGGAACCGGGGATTGAACTCAGGCCCTTGTGCTTGCCAGGGAAGTGATTATTCCACTGAGCCATCTCCCCGGCCCCTTCCCCTTTAATTTTGAGAATAATATATCACTAATTCTAGTCAACATTGTTTTGGAGTTTCCAGCCAGTGCAAGAAGGTATTTAATAAAATATAATTGTATGTGGGTAATAGACTGCCACATAAATATAATGATGTATATATATATATATATATATATATATATAATCAGTCAACTGTAATTATGTATACCTGGAACAATGTAAAATAAGATTTTTTTTTTAAATAAGATATTTTGAAAGCAGCCTAACTTATTTTGCCATCAGAACATCAACAAGCTCTGAGTAAATCTGATGACACATACGAAGGATCTTCACGGAGAAAATTATAAACTCTTATTTTGAGAATTGAAGAAGACCTAAGTAAAGGACACATTATGATAACCCCTTGAAAGACT